GAGTGAGGTGAGAGAGACGGAGTGGCAGAGGTCCCTGGATGGAGCAGCGCTCCTCTCACAGGGCTGCTGTCGGGTACGCAGCGGGGACAGTGACCAGCAGGGGACCAAGGGTGGGAGCAGGTCGAGGGGCTGAAGGACGCCGTCATGCTGTCCTGAGTGGCTGAGTGACACGGCGCATGGGAAGAAGGGGAGAGATGCCACTCTGGGAGGAGCGTGGGCTTCCTTGGGGCCTGGCTGAGCGTCAGCTCCGAGCACCCGGGGGCAGCACTCACACCACTTATGCTCCTCAGGCTCAGGCTACCTCAGATGTGACTCTGACTGCACCGTTATTAGACCTGGGGCCTCCCAGGGTTGCCTCACCCTGCAGGACTCAGATTCCCCAGCACGGGAAGTGAGCTCCTCCTCCAGGGGTTGTCCAGCCCAAGGGTGAGCCAAGGACCAGAACGCAGGGGCCCAGGTGGCACCGAGAGAGGACAGGAGGAGCTGGGCAAGGACACAGGAGACAGGAGGACGCCAGCAGCAGGGAAGCGGGGTGAGAAGGAGCCAGCAAGAAGTCGGGGAGTCAGCAGTGCATGGTGCAGACGAGAAGCAACCAGAGTTTCCGGGAAGACGCAGCTCTCTACATGCTGATGTTTTCCAAAACCCTCCAAAGTGGTGTAAAGGTTAAGAATGATAGAATAGTAAATAAGAGTGTGTGATTATTGCGCCATCTTTCTTCTCTCTCTCCCTCTCTTCTTCTTTGTTGCCTCCTTCCTCCCTTTCTTTCTGACAGGAAACTTGAAGTCACCCCCTGCTCATTACAGACACGGATGAGCCGGAGACGGGGCCTGGAGAGGCGGGCATGGGTGGGCGCGAGGTCTGCCTGCTCTGCGCCGGCTGCAGTCCCTTGCTCAGAGAGCCTGTGTGTCTGCAGCACTCGTGCGATTCCAAAGGAAGCATGAGGTGGGAGCGGTTATACGAGGGCAAGGACACTCTGACAAGTCACTGTCCACTCAGCGACCGCACTTTCGGTGGACAGGGACGCAGAGCAAGGACTGGCCAAGGCTTTTCTTTAAGAATGTGTCAGGAGAAAGACTCAAGGGCAAGGGAAAGTTTTTCTGAGTGACTGGCTGATTGGTTGGTTGGTGTTTGGGTTTTTGAGACAGGTCTCACTATGTAGTACGGGCTGACCTTGCACTCACGATGTAGTCCAGGCTGGCCTGGGAGTAGTGGCGATCCCCCTGCCACAGTCCACGGAGTGCTAGGATTAGAGGGATGCACCACCACACCGGGCTTCTGTTTTAAGGTGGGAAGGACTTTGAGCAAATGCTAAAAGGACAGAGAGAAGACCGAGGCATGAAAAACAAATAGAGCAAAAGTACCACACAGAAGGAACATCTAAGGGAGCAAGAAGTCGGACAGAAGTCTGAGGCGGAGACTGCCTTGAACCCAGAGCTTCAGGGTCGGGGCCGTAAGCAGCCATGGACTCCACCGGGATGGAACCTCACTGGGGAGCTGCATTCCGCCCTGCGCCTCCTGCTCAGTCTGGCAGAGGAAAGGGCAGAGCTTAGTCCATCTGCCGCGGCCCTGGCCAGGCACTCAGCAGAAACCTGCAGCACCGTAAGTACCGAGTGAACAGGCCCAGCTTTGAGGTTTAAGGTGGCAGGCGGCGATCGCTCCTGCTCCTGGAAGACAAGATGCAGCTGCGGGATGGCTCAGGCTCGTGGGGGTGCAGCAGGCTGTTTGTTAGCCTTGAAAGTTCTAAAGGTTCGCCAGCGCTGGCTTAAGCCATTGCCCATTTCTAGTTTTCTAGTTTTGTGGTTTTGTTGTGGCGCAGAGCATTTTCAGCTTTTCTGTGCGACCCTCTTTTCCACTTTCCGGGGGTCTCCTCCATGCCCAAGCTAGCAGGGGCAGCGCTGGGGTCGGACACACAGCGTGACCTTCAGCACGTGCAGATGGTGTTTGGTGACGGACAGTCAGCGTGGTGTGCGTGTCCACACACATGCACATGTGTTGGGGAGGAGAATGCTATCAGCAGGCTGTCTCAGGAACACGCCCTGAAAAGGACAAGCTGTGGGGGCTCCCAAGGGGCTGAGTGCAGCTGGGGTGTGTCTGCTAGGCAAGGGAGCAGGGCTTCCCTGAAAGACCGCGCTGCAGGGTGACACGTCTGCTCGTCACATGGGGACTGGCAGGGCTGGGGCTTTCTGCAGTATAGCATGGGGCTGCTCCCTTTCTCCTCAGAATGCCCTCCACCCCTCCAAGAAAGCCCAGACACACTTGGAAGGGTGAGAGAACCCCAGAGCAGCCCTGAGCAGAGTTTCAGCTGAGCACTGGAAAGTCAGGAAGATCTCGGGCCAGCACTGGACACAGAGGCGCGAGCCCCATCTCATGCAGAGAAGGAAGAGGTACGGACGGTGCTCCGCGGCATCTCCATTCCCCAGAGGCCGCCCCAGCCTCAGCCTCGCAGAAGCGGAGCCCTCTCTCTCCAGGCCCCCTTCCTCCTGAGCGGCCCTGGGCACCCACACTTCATCCCCTCGAGCCGCGGGGCTCCCTCACGCTCCACGTCTCTGCCCAGCATCAGCCACTCCTCCAGTCCCCGCAGAAGCCCTGCCGGGCCACAGTCCGCACCCCGGCCACAAATGCTCCTGGCCAGCATCTGTCCTCCCTAAGGGTGGCAGCAACCACGCTGGGGCAAGGGCTGTGCTGGAGGCCGCGCTGGCCTAACACTGTCCACACCCAAATGGCCCAGTGTCCTCCAAGGGCGACCTCACCTCCACAGCACCCTCCTCCTGTGGTCCCAACTGTCACAGTCCAGGGCCTGGGGGGTGGTTGGACTACTGCCAGGACAGAAGAGCCTTGGACGTGGACACCGGGGTCCTCCACATGGAGACCATGTCCCCCTGCAGAGCCACCGCACCCCTCAGAGCTCCCAGGTGCAGAGTACTAATGCCAAAAATGTGTTTCTCTGGGCCAGATCAAAGGGAGAAAATGACCAAGTTGACACCCCAGAAAATGGTCCAGAGTTCTAGAGGAAACGTCCGTAGGGAGGTTCTGCTCCAGAAAGCAAAGGCCAGCAAAACAAGGTGACTTTCAAGGCACACCCAGTTGCTGTGGAAATGACACCCCAAAAGCAAAGGGAGCAGGACGGGGTCTGGGCCATCCGGGTTCCTGCACTGCGGCAGGGTTCACTTCAGACCGCACAGCTGTGTGCTCATGGGACGCTCAGACTTTTGAAAAGGAGGGTCAGTAAAACCACAGCCCTCGAGTATTTAAAAGGCTCCTGTTAAACAGGCAGCAGCAGTGAATGCTCCCGCCTGTCCTGAAGGGTGACACGTCCAGCCCAACAGCCCCATTGGGCTGTTGAAGCACAAAGTCAAGAAGCAAGTCAGCTGGAAGTCCTCCCTCTAACTTGGCACTGTTTGCCTTCTGGCTTGGTTTATGTATGAAGAAGTCAGGGTGAGTCTCAGAGATCCAAGTCACCATCTTTCCCAGTGTAGAAAGCAAAAATTTCAGAAGCATCTTGATGAAAGAAAAAAAAAAAAAGTCCCACATAAGAACTCAAGTAGAAAGCAGTCAGATCAGAGGCGCCCCAAAGAAGTCACTCCCAGCCCTGAGTCACGGAAAAAAAAGAAGCCCTGGGCCAAAAAGCCGAGGCATCAAAAAGAAAAGATCAAGCACTAGTGCAACCTTCAAATCCTGAAGCGCAGAGCTGTCACTGCACGGTCCTCTGAAGCCCTGCGGTGACTCCAAAGTCGTCTCCTACACAACTGCACACATCCAAGCTGCGACAGCCATGCCTGACCACACAGGACCCGGTGGCCGGGCACAGAACGGTGGCCTCAGCCTGAGCTCCAGACACCTCTGAAGTAACTCATAGCACCTGCGTCCGGTGTAAGACGCCCGCCCCGCCATGCCAAAGTCATCAGACTGCGATGTACCTGCTGCTCCAGACTGGAAATGAAGCAGGCAGCACTTGGTTTAACTTCCGTGCGTCACTCTCCCACTCGTGCGTAAGGAGGGAGGTTCTGCAGAGGCCGTGCCAGGAAAGACCCCAGCCATCCCACTGGCCAGCATCCTTCCTGTGCACAGGAGGTCACTCTGCATCCATCCTGATGTGCGGCCAGCCCACGCTGTGCACCTGGACGCTGTCCCTGCACCCAGGGGACAGCGGCCTCTGTGTGCCGGCCCTGAGCACCCCAGGAAAGAGGAAAGAAAAGAACCAACGTGCTTCGCGAGGGCATCGCACCCTCAACTCTGAGCACAGGTGAACCCACTCTCACCCTTGAACAGAAGGGAAAAAGAAACAAAAGAACAAGACTGAAGCGGGAGAAGAAAGAGAGGAGGGATGTGCAGCGCCGGGCAGAGGTTCTGGGTTCGAATCCAGCTCAGCAGCTGAGCAATAGCATGTTAGATGGTGGCCAGCTGCACAATTGGCTTAAATTGTTATCTTCTCGTCTGCAAAATGGGTCTAGAGATACCTCCTGGGTAGCCATGCAGAATGAAAAAAGCAAGAGACTGGTGCATAAAGCTTAGCGTTCTACCTGTCACACGGATGGTCACATCCTTGGGAGGGAAGGAAGGGAAGGAGAATCGCAGAAGAAAGGGCAGAAGGACTCACTCCAGAATGGTCTGCACTCACTCAGGACAAACTCATTCTTCTACGATCAGTCTAGAAGCATTTCCCGATCGGCCACCACACCATCGGCAACGTGCTCCATTAGACACAAACCAGCCAGGCGCTGGGGCGCGTGCCTGTAGTCCCAGCACACAAGTGGCTAAGACAGCACCGGCCCGGCTGCACAGTGAGGCCCCGTCCCGAAAAGACAGGAAGGTGCGTGGTGCAGAGCGAGGAGCCCATGTGCATGCTGTTGCCTTTGTCCCTGGAGCCGCCAGCTAAACCAGGACACAGTGCTCAGCCGCCACCTCCCACCAGGCGAGGAGAGGGGCCCGGGAGCCGGGTTGGGGCGGCCCACAGCCCCGCCCACAGGGAGGACGCCCTGTGCCCCACGGTGCACGCCCACCTGGCCTGGTGGATGGCCTCCATCCACTCCTTCCCGTCCTGCTCCTCCTCACAGCGCAGCTCCAGGGGCTTCTGGCCCTCGTGGCCGAAGAGCACGGTGAAGTAGTACTGGGAAGAGAGACGACAGGGGTTAGCGCCTTCCTCCCTCGCTCCTCCCTCCATCCCTCCAGGCAGCAGCGCCCTCTCCCCGTGGGGGTGGGCAGCACCCCACACGCGTGCCCCGCCAGGCTCCCAGTGCAGCCGCATCCTCACACCCGGGAAGAGGGGCCCTGCCCTGCTCGCCCGGTGTTTCCAGAGAAGGGCGGAGAGGCCGCTGCTCAGGTCCAGCAATGGAGATAAAAGCACAGGGAGCCCGATGCTGTTCTGTTTCAGGCTGAAAACCAGCCACACCTTGCAAGCCGGGGGCCAGGCGACCGCTCCATCCTGGGACGCAGCACCCCGCAACTGTCCAATGACTGCCAGCCCCGCTCCAGGGACCCCGCCCAGCTCTTGAGCTGCCTTGCTCCATTTCCCTAGGAGACAGCAGCCCCGCCATCCCACCCGAGCCAGCACTTCAGAGGGTCACTGCATAGACGACAGGTGACCCAGAAGCAAATCTCGACTGCCTCCGGGCCTGAGGCAGATCCCAGTTTCTTTCCGGTAGGGACGCACTGCATGCCACTGATGAAAAAAGGGGATTCTGCTTAAGTAGGGAACAGACTGAGATTTACCAGGAGTGAAATGATTTCTCTCATATAAGCTTTACTCATCATTACCACAAACCGGAAACAACTCAAATGCCCTTTAACAGGTGAGAAGGTAAACAGATGCCAGTACATCTATACAATGGAATATGACTCAGTCATGAACAGGAACAAACCCTGGACAAGCCCAGCAATGTTGCAGTGACAGAGCAGAGATCTGTAGTTTTCCAGAGTCAGGGGTGGCATGGGGAGGAGGGGGAGGCTTTGTGCTCAGCTTTGGCAGCCAACACAAAGAGAAAGAAAGCCGGGCCTATGACCTGGCAGGAGCTGAGCCGCCACCAGATCAGGCAGCAGGTGGCTGTATGCGGTCCCCACCGCTCCTTGCCCTGGGGCTTAAAGGGAGCCCTGCAGGCCTCTCCTGAGAGCAGGGACAGGGGATTCTGTGCAGCAAACCTGGGAGCCAGGCCCACCCCTGGGGAAGGGGAGCAGTCAGGAGCGAGAGGACCCTGTGTTTCCCACGTAGGTCTTGGCCTCGGGGAAGAATCTAAAAGGCCGCTGCCTGGACATGGCCCGCCAGGAAGCTAAAAGCCGTGTTTGGGAGTAACACAACCACCAAGGTCAGATCAAGGGCAATGGTTTCTTTTGGCCCCAAGCTGGCCACCCCTGAACCAGCCAGGCTGGGCCTGACTTCAAACTGACTGAAAGGGCAGGAGCAAGGGCAGCTCTGCAGGGCCAAGGGGCACAACAGGAGTCTGGAGGAGTCCTGCCTAGCATCAATGGCACAGGAGGGAACTGTAAGGTCCAAACCTCCTAAAGTGGAGCTTCTGACCCTGAACATACCCAAGGAAACGGCTGGGGGTGGGGGGCAGGTGGGAGGGGTGGAGACAGCAGACCAGCTGCACACAGAAGCTTTCACGCAGGGAGTCTGAGGACCTGACCGAGACTGCCAGGGAGGAAGATGCAGCACTGGAGTGGCCAGGAGACACAGCACCCGCCCTTAGTGGCTCTGAAAGGGAGACGCACGGACAAAACAGCCCTCAGCTGTCCCCTGCCCAGCAAGCCTGTTCACAGTGACAGCTACAGGCCCATTTCTGTCCAATGAACTAAAACCCTTCAGCTTGAGCTAGGCATGTGGCCCACACCTGTCATCCTAACACTCTGGGAGGCTGAGGCAGGAGGATCACAAGTTTGAGCCCAGCCGGGGGAACTTAGCAACTTAGCAAGACCCCATCTCAAGATGAAAACATAAAGGGCTGGGGATACAGCTCAATGTGAAGGCCCTGAGTTCAAGCCCCAGTACCGCACAGAAAACAAAATGAGACCCACTTCAGGTCAGGTCAGTAACCGTATTAACCTCCACCAGAGATAAGAGTTTTCAGGGACAGCTGTCCCCACCTGCAAAACCCCACCCAGGCCAAGGCTGAGCGGGCCCGACGTCCAGGCTCTGGGGAAGGGGCTGCCATCATCTCAGCCCTGTGCTCATCTAAGAGGGCCGGGGAAGTCACTGGCAGTGCTGGCAGCACAGCCCCGGTGGTGGCATCTCAGCTCCTGAGCGCCCAGCAGGCTCAGACGGAACTGGCTGAAGGCCGCGGTGCTGCGGCCCGGCCCCAGTTACACATGAGGGCCCTGGGTCAGCACCAGGAAAGGGAGAAACAGCGTCGACCTTGGTCTCAATGCATGTGCTCTTTCCCTCCCAGCCCGCCAGGCGGCCTCTCCTCCTGTCTTTCCTCTCTCAAATCCCTCTGCCTCAGTCTCCCAAGAAGGAGCCTCAAGGTGACCCTAACCTCCACCTCTTCATAGGCCTCATCCGCTGGTTTCCCCAGCACTCCACTGAGGAACCCATGGGGAACCAGCTGCCCCCGCCCAGAAGCAGGCCCATCACTGGGGTGACGCACATGGGCCGTCAGATACATGGGAATGTTGCAAGGTTAAAATTTTTATAGTGATACAATTGGCCCATCATGCACCGACTGCAGTTGCCCACCCACGGATGTGTGTAAATCATTGAAACTTTGAACAACCCCTGGGAATATATGCCATACAACGAGCCACTCTTGCTCCTGCCATTGAGAACCAGAAAGGTCCAGAGCCAGTGGAGGAGCAGCTGCTGAACAAGGACTCAGAGAACATGAGAATGCAGACTAAGCCCACGGAGTCAGAGATCCAATAGACTGGGGTCACGAGAGCCGCTCGCAAGCTGTAAAACAGGAGGACTTTGCACAATACCTGCAGAGACTCATTGGAAGCCATTCTTCCCCTGACAGTACAGGCTGTGGTGAAGCTCTGGAGAAATCTGCAGCAGGATTCCTTTTGCCTGTGCTGTCAGTTGGGGAGAGGACACTAACTGGTTGTGGGGTCCCAAAGCAATGGGAAGCTGGAGAGAAAAAGCTACAAAGAATGGCTTTCACCCCAGATAGCTCACTTGAGATGTTAGTAAGAATAGCCTCCTCAGTATTCTATAGCCATGATGAGGAGGAGGCCAAGGAGAGAAAACAAAGAGACTGAGAAAAAGCAGCTGCTTTTGCTGCACCACTAGGAGAAACAGATCCCAGGTCTGATTCCCAGGGCTCCAAGAAGAACTTGACAACTGCATTCATCTGCTACCACTGTTAAAAGCCAGGCCACCTCAAGAGGAACTGCCCTAAGAGGCCCCATGGGCCATGCCCTGGATGCAAAGGAGACCACTGGAGATTGGTCTGCCCTCTGAGGTGGAGGCCCCAGAGCTCAGACCCATGCTTCCAGTTAGTCCAACAGGAATGAGAGGGCTTGGGGCATGGCTTGCCTTCTCCCTCTGGCCAGACCGTCATCTCCATCGAGGAGTCCTGGGTAATCATGACTATGGAGGAACAAGAAAACAGCCTGTCGCTAGTCACAGGTGCAAGTCTCTCGGTCCTTCTTTTCAATCCTGGCCTTCCTTCCAGCCATCATACCTCAGTGAAAGGAGTCACTGGTGAGGAGGTAATATGCTATTTTTGACAACCCTTAGGCTGTAACTACTTATTAGATCCTTCTTGCATATCTCTGTCTTCCTGAGAAACCACTTTGAAGATACCACCACATACTACAGCAGCCATTGATATTTTCCTACTAATCTATCCATAACTGTGTTAAGTTTGGAATGTTCCTATCCTATTTCATAATGTATGTTTATTATTATGTGTTTCCTACAACAACCATTGAGAATAGTTAATGATTTTTCAATAGATCACTCATGTATAGCTCTATTTTTATTCTTTAGAAGCCACTTTGAAGATACCAAAGTATAGCATAACAACTCTTGATAATCTCCTACCTCTTTTGTCTCTAACTCACTATTATTTGTCTATTTGTTTTCCTGAGAAACTATTTTATAGATAATAATATGTAAAACGATAACCATTGATAATTTCCTACCATTTTGTCTGTAATTTGCTAAGTCCCCCCTATTACTATGTTATCCTTCTTTTATTCTTTAAAATAAAAAATTAAAAAAAAAAATTTTTTATTACAGTAAAAGACACACTGCCATGAATCCCCTCCAAGTCCTCCCCCTGGCTTCGAGCACACTCATCCCACCGTCCTTGCACTTTCTGCTGCAGCTCTGGAGTGCTCTTTCCTGAGGGTCATTAGTTGCCCTGTCCTGGCTGCTCTGCATGCTGAATTCATTCAAAATGATCCCCTTTCATGGTCGTTTTGACTTTGAGGAAGAGTGAAGTCACGGGGTGCCAGACGCAGTGACTCAGGTGGACGAGGACAGTGTTGTGTTTTCATGGCTGCGTTTCTGCCAGACGGTGCGGCAGCAGTATTCACCGTATTTCTGATCACACCAGCAGGCACCCACACCACCTCTCCTGGGCCACAGAGTTGCCCTGTGCGGCCTCTCCTCTCGCCAGACTCACTGTGTGCCCTGGTCACAGCCCGTGCAGCCACGCAGAGCCCCTGACCACGTCTGGTGAGCAGGTACACCACAACAGAGCCTCGAGCGGCCACCGCCCTGCTGGACTTGCTTCGCCGCCGTCCGTGGCAATCAGCTCCTTTACCACACAGTCACACTGCATTTTTGTAAATTACCCTAAGAAAATCAAATACGCCTTAAGCTGTCAAACACATCTTTTGATCTTAAGCCATGAAAACACCAGAGTGTTGCCATCTCCGGAGCGCTCACAGAGCAGAAGGAGCAAGGATTGCCACGGACAGGGTCTGAAAGGCCTCATGCTGACACTCCGGGTCCATCGCAGCACTTGCACACGGGGAGGACCCGGAAGCACCAGCAGATGAATGGGTGAAGAAAATATGACACATGCTCAGCAGGGCTGCGAGCTGCGCAGTGTGGATACGGTTTGTCGGTGGACAAAAACCGTGCACGCATTTCAGGAAAAGAAACACAGGCTGATTTTTTTCAACAAAGTGTGCTACCCTCAAGGATGTCATGTATGGCAAAAAACC